TTGCGGGAGATCACCATTTCGTCCTCCTTCTCCAGGGCAGCGACGTCCACGATGGGCTTGTGTGCTTTCTTCCGCTTCTTCTTGGCAAGATCCATGGCTAGAGCAAGGGTGCAAAGATGTGACAAGGTAGAGAACTAGCTGGCATGAAAAATATGAATATGAAGAAAATACCTCAAAGTACCCCTAAATCAGGTCATTCAGGCATCCTGGAAAATCATGAAACGGGTAGTTAAGGCCAGAATTGCATGAGACCGCTACACAATGTGAAAAATAGTACAAATGTGATATTGTACTGGGATAAGGTGCATAAATTAAAAAAGGTATCTCCATATCGTGAAACTGAAAGTTGCTGATGGCTTGCACCATCTATCGGAATAAATATCAACTATTCTCGTTGATTTTCAATTATTCTAGAATTAACAAGGTTTATTAAGAAATCTCATCTTACACAGGATGTATTTCCATGTACACAAAACTGAATCCGGATTTATGGTATTACATTCATTTAAAACTTATATTCGAGGTATCACCTCTTTTCCAAATTGATAAATTTGTATGAGATTGATTAATTATTATTATTATAAAAACCCCATATATTTTGGAGACAATAATGAAATATATACTTTGAAAATAAATATATCTGACATAACCTTTATTTTTAAATAGTGAATAACAATATGAAGTCATAAAATTTTACAAGAAGAGGAATCGCCGGGTATAATTTCAAAGAAGGAATAAAATATAACGGTGAGGAGATTCTTTATTTATGTGATAAAACTTTGGCGAGCTTTCGGACTATGACGTTTTTCAATAGCTAAAATTTAGGCGAATACAACAAACTATTATATAAAATATCTCATTATATATATATATATATATATTACATTATATATATATGTAATAAGATGTTGAGTTTGATGTCGACTACTGAAATAAGTTGAAGTTCTGGTAAGCCTTGTGAAGAGTGTTGACCAAGAGGAACAGTCAGGATGTAGAGTTTTCCAGTACCTCTCTGCACCTTGGAAGACCTTTAAAAGTTCTCACAAAATACAGGCAGTCGTGGTCGAGGCAGAGTGGAAAAGCTTGGGGATATCCATACACAAAAAACGAAGGCACAGTTGCACTAAGAAAGTTCCGTTAATAGATAAAAGTTGAGCTAGGAGCGAAAAGATGGAGATAGAAGAGTTCTTACTCGTCTACATGATGGATGAGGAGAATCTGAGGTACGACCGACGGGGGGCTCGCACAGATGCCGCACTAAGGGCGAACTAAACTAAACTGACTGAACTATACTGAGCTGTCAAGTCACTGTAAGGTGATGTATTTATAGGTTAAAGACGGGGCGACCTTATGTGACAGGGGCGTTTGAGAAAGCGCGCCTTTACCTGTCCAGGTGTGAGAGGGGTCTCTGCATTCCACCACATGTGACAGTGTGGGTGGCCTTGTTTGTGGGAATTGTAAATCGACCTGATTTATGACTTCCATCTTTAGACTTTGTTGTTTTGGCAATACTATGCTCGATCTCTGCTTTAGCTCAATTCTTAAATCTATTACAGATTTTATTTATTTATCCACTTTGTACAAATTACATTACATAGGGCGATGCAATGACACAGATTAATCATGCGCATAATTATTTATAGATGTGTTTCTATATACAACATGACAATCTTATTATAAGTTATATACACAGTATGGGGTTGTTGGTTTAAATTACCATATATATATATAACATAATTAGATTTCTGTTGTATTTTGATTATTAGAGCTATATAGAATTAATACTTGATGCTGATTATTTTGAGAATAGATATATGTTGAGAAGTCGTGGCAATGATTAAATAAAATCAGTTATCAAAATAGATTTAATTGAACTTATGGAATATATAAAAAACATGGTTTGATAAAAGTGCTGCCTGGCTTAAGGCGAGTAAACAAGGAAAACAAGATATTATTTACATAATGTACAAAGTTTTGAGCCGGCCAACGGGAAAGACCCACAACGAGATTTTATATGGGAAGCATGACCTCTGGCGGTCGATTTAACAGAGTATCTGAATCTATGAAATATATTTTTTAATAAAACACAATACCTTAATATAACATAATTTCAAATAAGATATTTTAATATAACATTTTAAATAATACCTTCATATAACATATATATATATATATATATATATATATATATATATATATATATATATATGTCGAATCCTGTCGAATTGTGTGGTTGGGTGGATATGGGGTTGAATTAGTGGTTGACGCAGTCTTGGTAGGATGATAGGTTCAACAGGGGAAGAACGAACACACCTGGATGGGGTAGAAAAGGACTTTTGCGAGTGGGAGAAGAATGAGATAGGAGGAGGTAGCTGGCCTTTCACATGGTGGAGCGTACACACTACCTTGGTTGGAGCCTATGTTGAGCACACCTATCTCATAGCACGGTCACCCACCTTCTTTCTGTTTCTTGTCCGAGATAATCGTCATCGACTCTCTCGACTTCTCATTGGTTGAGATCCTTCCACGTGCTCTCTGATGATTCGCTATCAATTTGTCATGCTTGAAGGTGATTGGTTGTCAATTTGTCATGCTTAAAGGTGATTGGCTCAGTACCTCCATTGTCGCCATGATTGAAATCCTGCAGGAAGAAGAAGGCCTTTGAACTTAAGTTTTATGGGTCCAGGGCAGTGACCTTTACCTCCTGGATGGTCCAATCCTGTACTTTGTTCTTTCCCATCTCGCGAGGCCTAACCTTTATTAAAGCTTCAGACGATACATTATACATAGCTTGTGGTGGGGTTGCATAATCCTATATACATATTATCACATATATATTCTCTAGTTTCTTAACAGTTCGCCAATTTAATCTACCACACCGCTTCTTAGAGCTCTAATAATGTATTAAACAATTCTGTTTATATATACTATTGTTGGAGAGTAACTTCGCACATCAGCTGTTGCCTAGCAACGACACCTTCCTACAAGACATCACGTGACCTGGCGCCACTCCGACCAACTGTACCTGTAGAATTTTTAGCTTGCTTTTGTTGTCTGCCCCTACGCTTGCCTTTTTTGACTCTCTTTGTTCCTTGTCATCTTAATATAATATTATTGTTAATTAAACAATACTTTCTGAGATCCAGCCTCTGATTCTCTTACAACTATACTGAAGGTTGAAATCTTAGAAATGGTATTCAACCAAATATGGACATAAGCTTTCAGGACAGTAGAATTACATATAAATATTTGCATAGAGCAATGCTCTTCCGCAAACAATAAGTACAAGGCCAGTTAGGTATAATTAATTATAAGGCGATAACATGCAATCTATATATAATAAATGGAAGCCTCACAGACGAATGTTTCTTTTAAACATGAAAAAACGTTTACTGTCCTTACTGCGATGATTAGAGTTCTAAAAAGCGGACTGGTAAAGTAAATTAGCGAAACCGCTAAGAGGGTTCACCACTGATGAGACAAGCCCTCCCAATATATTTTCATCGCAGTAAGGATAATAAAGGTTTTTTTTATGTTTAAAAAAACCTCCGTGCTTTGATGATTACATTTCTTTTATATTTTATTATATTATTTCAAAAAAAGATGGTTCGAATTTACATTATGAGAAGATCCGTTGTTATATAGGCAAATAAAAAAAGTGGTTTATGCTTAAAATATGAAGCTTGCTTGAGTTTTGTGCATAAGTGTGTTTCGCCAAATTTATATTTTGTTAATATCATTTTTAATTGATTTTAAACTCATTAATGAGGAAATAAAATTTATTCTTAAAATTAAAATTAATAGTTAAAGTTTAAAAATCAAGAAAAATAGTATTCTAAAATACAAAAAAAAATGTGAATTTAATTGTTTCGACTCTAAAATCCATTTTAATATTGAAAAAATGGAAAATTGGCATAAATAGTTTCAAAAGTTGATAATAGATGGCAGCAAGGGTATAATTCAACGGTTGAATTCAAGAGATACTTTTCAAGTTCGTACGTAAAAATATATTGGCCAATTTGATTAAAACTCACTCCTTAATAATTTCAGTGAATTTTTAAGAAACCTCGAAAAATATATCATGATAAAAATGCAAATTCTAAAAATCCTTTTTTTTAGAATAACGAGCTTAAAAAAACTTTTCGTCAACGCATAGTTTCGTGTAGTTATTCTATTTTTAACACTTCTTATTAAAAAAATAGTTTAAAAGTTAAATTTTACTGAGAACAGGTGGATAAATTAGTAAAAAGGCATCTCCCGATCGTGCAAAAGAAAGTTGCTGATGGCTTACGCCATCTGTCGGAATAAATACCAACTAATAGTTGATTTTTAATTTTATTCCATAATTTGTTGAATACCATTTCTTGATTAGTAATTTAATAAATTAAATTTCCGAAAGATAGCACAAGTGAAGGAGTTTTTAGTTAATGAAGGAGTTTTTTTTAATTAATGATTTTATTTAAATATACAAATATTACAATTATAACATAATAGAAAGAAAAAATAATGGGAAATACAGCAATCAAAATTATATATGTGCTATCGAACAATCAACAAAATCAGAGTGGTCAAATATCAATAAAAAGGTAATCTCAATAATAATAAGCTTGGAAATTAAATCCAACAACAAGCCAACTTTAGCTACACGACAAGAAATTGCTTTTTCTTCACTTCCTATTTTATTATTATTATTTTTTTATAAATATGAAGCATTCAGCATTTAACACAAACACCAAATAAAAATCATACATTTTAGGACCTAAGTGGCTGTTTAATATTTTTGTCAGTGACTTTATTGGTCTATTGGTATAATTTAATACATAATACAATATAATGCGGCCCATGACCATAGAACGACATTTGAAAATATCCTACATGTGTTTCTTTTGAACGAAAAATCTAAACCCATTTTAGGGATAAATAACGATTATTTCTAACCTTAGTCATGAAGTATGAGAGGATGAATTCTAACGAGTAATGATAAACGGAAAATTAAAAGTGTCCAGGAATGGGAAACGAACCCACAGTGTTCCACTTAGGCAGATGCCAAAACCATTAGGCTACCCTGGACATATTTTTCCATTCGTAAGTAATATATATCCAATATTTAATATCAAATTATTGATATAAATTCTGGGATGTTTCAGCTAATAATTAATTGCTCAGTGAAATAAAGAATTGTGTCTGCTTCTAAATATATTAGATTCAATTTTATATCAAAAATATAAAGTTAATTGATCGGGAATAAGATTTTAAAAAAAGCTCTAAAATGTTATTGTATTATTAGCTCAATAACAATCTTGAAATCAATTCAAATGTTAGACTACGGGAAACCTTAACTGGATAATTGTCAATCGGATAGAGAAAACAAATATATAACCATGAATATATTGACTTTTGATCAAGTCTCTTCTTTTTCATATGAATTTTTACAAAACCGCAGTCAAAACCTTCGAAGGAAAATAATGGACTTGCTGATTGTCGTGATTTATTCGGATAAGGAAATCGAAGATTAGAACGCGGCTGATTCCATACTAATGTTTTCAGTGATACGAAACCCTAGACATATACACGGTGGAATATGTGGCCAATGGACATGCATCAGACCTTTGAGGCTATTTTTTTGGTTCTGCTCTGCCTGGAGTATAGGAGCTACTTCTATGCTTCCTTTCTGTGTTGAATCTGTATAAGACCAGAGTGATATTAATAAAGTTGTGTGCGTGAATTCTAGCTTTTTCCAAAGACTCTATCCTGATTTACTCTTTGTTCAGGCCTCGTCCACATATACAGGTCTGAAATTTTTGAAGCGGCAGTACTTGCAGCATGAGGCAAGGCTAGAGGATACGTAGCATCTATGTTATGTCCCTAGAAGCTCTTGCTTCGTAGAACTGTCCAGCTGATAGCAGAATTCTACAATGATTTCCCTCCTCTACACTTTCATTGGTTCTTGATTCTATTTTCGAAGAGTTGTTAGAGATTCTTCCATTGTTATTTTGTATAATAAGGACTAAAAAGAGCATACACTCATTACTATACAATAAAATGTAGAATTAAAAAATTAAATCTAGTATTTAATACCTTACACAAGAAAATATCCCACTTATTTTAGAGGAGTCGCCATAAAAGTTATAAACAGATCATTCTGCCCTTTGCTTATTTTTAAATAATCTTACTCTTAAATGATCTGTCATTTTTGACAAAGAAGTTCCGATCTAGTCAGTATGTGGCTCAGGAAGCTGAATCTATTTTTAAAATATAGAAATTTGTGTGGAGACTAGATAAATTAGCGATCATATTTTAAAAGAAAATTATTATTTAAAATCATTAAAAAACATATATTTTTCGAGAATAAAATTGATTTGACATAGCTAATAATTTTTCAAATAAGAAGTAAATATGAGATCATGAAAATATTTTACTTGCCAATATTTCAGTTGACTAAACGACAATTTTATAACCGTCTAATAATGTTTTTGTTTTGTATAAGTGAAATCAGCTCCACCTAGTGTAATAAATTACAATTCATATTATTTTTTTATTATAAACACACACAACTAGAAATATTCAAAAGTAGAAAGTTTTAATATGTATAATACTGATTACATTTTCAGAAAAAAACATAGTTAAATCAACCAATAATGTATTTAATTCTCGACGTTTTTTAAACTCGCTGTCATTCTTCCCAAGGGAGAATGACAAAACTATATTGTAACATTTCTGTACAGATTTGATATTCTTTGATGTTAGCAACCATTTTTATAATATATATCTTCATTTTAAAATAAAAGAATAGTTTTCATGTAATATTTAATCCATTATTATGAATCATGATGTGACCTAGGGAATGATACAGTATAAGAAAATGTAGAGCCAATAAAAAACATAACCAAGCATTATTATCATGGTTAACACTTTCAGATAAAGTCCCCTAAAGGATAGCTATTTCTGCACTTGGATTTTGGAAAATAATCTTCTAAGATGACCTCAGTTTAAACAAGGGAGCTCTATTTGTGTCGATGTGTCGTTTAGGAAGACAAAAACGACCTTAGGTTTATGGTGATACACTTAATTAAAGCTTATACTCATGAAGTTTTGAAGTATTTTAAACTATTTTTCAAATATAGAAATCTGTGCCTGATAAATTAAACGCAAATAGAGGTACCACCTTCACATTTTTACACTGAATTATGAACCTATTTTTTGAAAATAAATTAATTTGACGTAGTTAATATTTTCAAATTATAAATAAATATAAGAGGTCATAAAAATGTTATACTTGCCAATATCTCAATTGATTAAACACCAATTTTATAAAGGTCTAATAATGTATTTGTTTTGTATAAGTGACATCAGCTCCACCTAGTGTGATAAGTTACAACTGATATCAGCAATGATTATAGATAACATAAACATAGGGTAAATTTAAAAAATATAATGTTTTAAAATATGTATAATACTTATTAATAAACAATTCTTTATAGTCTTGAAATTCTATAATGATTAACAATCATTTTTATGCTATATCTTTTGAGTATATATATAATACCACACTAGGGAGACTGAAGCCATTTTGTTCATACTTGGTTATCTCGTGTTTCTTAAATAAAGGTAACTGTGAACCAAATATTTTTCTGAGTTTTTTTCTGAATCCTATATTTCCATGCAAAAACTTCCTTGAGTTCTGTCAAGGAATGTAAAATGCAAGATTATTTCCCTTAAATTACCGTAAATTTCCATCTATTTCAATATTTAATAAATTATGACAATCAATGACATCTCAATAAATATAATATTTATGTCACCTATTTACATATTTCTACTTAGATTAGTACCTAGTAGTATATTATTTTCACAATCTAAAGGTTTCTCAGTGTCATACCATTTTCAGAGACTCCTCCGTTTTCTCGACTTGTTTGTATTTGTTTACAATTGAAGAAAATAGGCCTCATGTATTTTTAATTATTTTATCATGATTCGTGATATGACTCAGAATTATGATACGGTATAATCAATGTTAGAACCAAGTACAGAACAAGATACTCTTATCATGGTTAAGTCTTTCAGAAGAGTTGCACTAAAAGCTATAATCAGATCATTTTGCACTTTGTTTTTTTAAAGAATATTTTTACTCTTAAATGACCTGTCAATTTTGACAAAGAAGTTCCTATCTAGTCAATATGTGGCTCAAGATGATATAAACAGAATAGGTTTGTGTTAAATCTCTTGAGATAATTTTCGAGGTATCTGAACCTATTTTTAAAATATAGAACTTTGTGTGGAGACTCGATAAATTATCGAAAGGAAAAATATATTTTGAAACCATTAATAAACCTTTTTTTCGAGAATAAAATTGATTTGACCTAGATAATATTTTTATAAATCAAGATGATATAAACAATGTTGGTTATATGATAATTCTCTTAGGTAAAGCTTATTCTTGAGGTATCTGAACCTATTATATCTTTTTGCTTATCCCTAGTACACGTGGTACAGGTCATGGTAATCATGGTGGGTAGAAGTTGGAGACTGCTTAACCTATTTTTAAAATATATAATTTGTGTGGAGACCCGATAAATTATTATCGTATTAATAAAGCAGATATTTTTAACTGAATTAAAAACATATTCTTTCTGAATAAAATTGATTTGACATAGCTAATATTTTTTAAAATAAGAAGTAAACATAGATCATAAATATATTTTAGTCGCCAATATTTCAGTTTACACAACAATAGAACATCAATTTTTTAACCGTCTACTAATGTATTTGTTTTGTGTAAGTAATATAAGCTCCACCTAGTGTAATAATGTACAATTGATATTATTCTTTATTAAAAACACACATAACTGGAAAAATTAAAAGTATAGAGTTTTGATATGTATAATACCTATAACTTTTTCGGAAAAAATATAACTACATCAGTCAATAATGTATTTAATTCTCAACGTTCCAGTAACTCACTCTCATCTTCTCAAGGAAATGACAAAACTATCATATAAATATATTTATGAACTTAAAATTCTTTAATGTTTAGGAATCATTTTCATACTATATCCTTTGAGAATAATATCACACTACAGTTCATTTCTAAAGGTATAAAAGCATCCTATCTACAATTTGATTCCTACAATCTAACAGGAATTGTCTAGAATTCAATTAAGAATTCTTAATCAAATAATAGGCATATAGAAATCCCAACCGATATAATGTATCAATTTTATCCATAATAAACGCCATATATTCACTCATGGGTATTTACCAGAGGGTGGGGGGGCCGTTACGATGTCCGCGACGTAAGTAAGGGTTGGCTGGTCTAGGCTCCTCACCGTTGCTTGGAATTTAGTTTCGTCGCGGGAGATCTCGGCTAGACCGAAAGCGGCTTCTAGCTGGCTTATCCACAGTTCAACGTTGTTGGGCCAGAATGGTGGTGCACGGAAAGCCAATCTTGATATTTGGGAGGGTGCCGTGGATGTTGGCCCTTCCGGATGTTCCGTAGTTGCGTCTTGCATTCTGGGGCTGTTGAAAGTTTCGTGGATGAAATAAAAAATATATAGAAGTGTGATTAAAATAACTTTTGCATCACGTCCGGCTCACCAATTTTGTAGGATGACTGTTGATGTGCTGTGTTGGTGTGGCTTGTGGAAAGGCTGCTGATAAAATTTTAATTAAAATTAATTTATTTAAAGCAAGACATTATAAAGAGAAAAGAAGCAACGGTTTAAATAACGGCCGCCAGCTTAAGCCTTCTTGTTCACCGCTAGATCCCAGCGTCTCTGATGACGTCCCGCGCGCATGCGTAGTGAAGTTGACGCCCGCGGCTCGCTGAAACCAAAGTGCCGTCGCAACAAATATATTAAAATATACAAGTATCAGAGTCATCAATCAATTCTTAATTCTGTCACAGTTTGCTTTTGTAAATGGAATAAATATTCAAATATGGCATTTCTCATAAGCATCGATGATTCAGTGGTAAAATGCTCGTCTGCCACTCGGGCGGCCCGTGTTCGATTCCCGGCCGATGCATTTTTTTTTTTTACAATTTTTAAAACTCATTTATATATTATACAAGA